GGGGGGGGCTGTCCTTCATTCATTCACGAGTTGGCGAGTCGTTGCGAAGTGTTACGTCGTAGTGTTGTTTTGCCGGGCTTCTACAACTGATATTTTCCGCCCCGCCGTATTCCGCGGGACGGAGTATACTTTGCCTTGCTATGAATCAGTACCATCGGCAGCAGCAATGCTTTCTCGTGTTTCATACAGCTCCCCGCCTCCTGAAGCACCTCTTGATATCGTCTGCTGCTTCGCTATTATCCCTCATTGCGAATTTGAGTCACCGCCGTCGCACAGCTGCTCTGCACACCACCGCACAGACGCGGGATGATAATTTGAATCTTCCGGTCCATTTCGCTGTTCGCCGAAATCTCGGCGAGGCAGGTGGGAGGAGCAGGGGGGGGGGGCGGCAGGGCCGCTGGGCCCCTGCAGCAGGGCTCCGTAGAGCGCAGCGCGTGGTGAGTCACTGATGACGTCGGCCCGGTCGCGGGTGGCTGACCGCGGCTCCAACGTCATCAAGTCCCCGCCGTGCTCCAGAGACCCCGGCACCACCGACCGGCACCCGCAGCGGCCTTGGACTCGCGGCGGTCCCGCTGCCCCGCTCCATCTTCCACAAAAGAGAAGAGGAGAGAATGGTTCGAGGAAAGTGATGACGACCGTTCGGCCAGAAATGGAGGGAAAATACTAGAATACCGCCGGTGTGGGTCCCGCGGGTCCCGCGGAGGTGGAGCTGGAAGCACTCTGGGAGTCGGAGCTGGAGCCGAGCCTTCCAGGACCAATGTGGCGCAATCTGCCTCGTGTGCCCTTGGTCCACACTCACTGCCCCTTTACAAACTCCGGGGAAGCCCCCGCCCCCGCGCCGACCCGAATTCTATCCCGGAACCCTCCAGCACCCGCTCGCCATGAGGCCTGCAACAACCCTTCCCCCTCCCCTCTCCCCTTCTACCCCTTCCACTCCCGCGCACCCCCTCCACCACTCACTCCAGAGAGGCAGTGCAGCGCAATGGTCCATCCAAACGGTTGCGCGGGGGGAGGGGGAGGGAGGGAGCACGTCGACCGTGTAGCGGAGCGCGCAGGGAAATCCCAGATTGCTACCGTCCCCCCACCCCCCAATTCGACGACCCCCTCCCCCTCCCGTTAGGGCCACCCCACCCGCGCCCCGTCCCCGCCGGGCCACCCTGGCCGGGAGCGCGGGGGGAGCTCGACGAATGCTGCGAGCGACGCACCGCAGCCCCGCTGGGCCGGACCGGGGCTGCTCACGGGGAAAGCCCTTCTGGCAGGGAAAGCCCTGCTGGCGGCGCCGACCGCCCCCCGCGCCCTGCCATGTGCCGCCCACTGTCCTTGTCCGTCCGCCGAGCGGCCATTCAATCACCTGTTTAATTGAACCAGTCGCATGGGTAACCCTCCTTCCCCCTCCTCTTTCTCCTCTATGTCGCAATGGCTGCATCGATATGTGAAACCTCGCGGAATCGATCCAGGGCGCTTGTCAACCCCGAAGATCGACGCCGCTGCCCGTTAGGCCCCGGGCCAGGAAGCCCCTCGCCCATATGATCGCCCGCGTGACGCGTGGTCCTGCCGCCCCCCTAGACGTAATTGTCACCCCGCCGTGTCCGTGTGCCATGATGCCCCCGCTGGCTCGCGGATGTGTTGGACGCCGTCCAAATTGGGGCGGAGCAGCGTCAAAAGTCGGGAAAGCACGCCGGGAGTTATGAGCCCCCTGTAACTGCATGAGCGCCCCCCC